ATATATATATATATATATATATATAGTTAGTGAGCATTATAATTGATAAATTATATCAAATTCAAATACTAAATCTCTAATGATTACACTCAATAGTATGATACTATCATTAATATTAGTATTAAATTTACTATTGTAATTTGTATTGTAAGTAATCTCTATTAACTATTAGTAATACTACTAGTGTACTACTAGTAATACTAATAGTAGCCTGAAATATACTAATTTCTAAGTCTCTGCCTGTACTAAGTTTTGATTATTTAAATTATAATATATATCATTTACCTTCACTAGTTTGAAAAACAATATTACTTTGTCCAGGCTTGAGGTTTCTCCTTTCGATTTCATATACATTACGTAACTTCACTCGTGGGTACTCCTGAATATAATTCTTTGCATTCTCTCTCTCATTTACATTCGAATGAAAATCCCGTACGTGTTTGACATGCTTCAGAACAGTTGGTCGACTTAACTGACCATAGAAGATTGAAAACTGATTCGAAAGAAAATTTCGTCTATCGCTCTTGTCCTGAACATTCAAAACAGATGCTGAAACTTGGTTTCCAATGTTACTATTACTATTAGTCACAATATTAATAATAATATTGCATACAACAAAAATTAAAACGAACAAACTTGTATTTGACATTATGACAAGGTCATTTCGTAGCCATGCATAGAATGTCGCATAAAACATTTACTCTTAAATGGCAGTTTTGTAGATTACACAACATTACAGTTTACAGAATAAAGCTTTAAGTTTAACTTAAGACGCTCTTCGTTAGATAATTAAAATATAATCGATAGCTTTCAAATACGAATTCTTACGGCCATGCATAGACTACGGTATGACGTCAAATACCATCAGCCACCTGAAAAATTTCTTTCCCAATAGTTCGAGAGGATAATTGTGAAGCTGGAACGTAGCGTCGTTGGCTTTTAATAGTTGATCATTTTCGCATTAAATGTAAGACAAGCATATTTGCTACGAGAAGTAATTCTACTGATACGCAAATACGGTAAGAAACGTGTGTTGCAACTTCTTTCCGTTAAGGCAAATATTAGTTGTCAGTCAGACAAAAATATTTTTTATCATAGATTCCACTCACAAAACATAGCTGAACATGTGTGTTTGTTGTATTTTCGTTTCTTATATGATTTTAAAATGGCGTGTGATAATCGTAATAAGACAGATACGGGTATTTTATGATCTATTTTCATGATAATAGGAATTTTGGGTGTTTGTTAGAAGGGTAGGTAAAAAATAAAAAAAACATTACATGCCATTCCCTCATTTATGTGTGACGAGCTATCATCCTCAACGACCACTGAAATAGGTAAAACGTTGGTTATCAATGTCTTCAGTTTCTTCACAGTAATTTAAGCTAAAGACTTATTATGAAGACGTTTACAAAAGTATTCAGCTGTATTTCTTTACTTTAATCACTGTTTTAATATCAAAGTTATTAAAACATAACTTGAGTTAATATGCTCGATATTGTTACGTATCTGCTCGTTTGTTAATTTCCGGTATAAATTAGTTTTTATAATTTACTATTTTCATTTTGTTCGGTATCCTTTTGCATTTCTTCACATAACAAATTAATAGTGTTACGTCTCTGTCTTCGTTTGTTAATTTCCGGTATAAATTAGTTTTTATAATTTACTATTTTCATTTTGTTCGGTATCCTTTTGCATTTCTTCACA